TTGCCTCTACAATGAATAAATAAATAAATAAATAAGCCAGGCATGGTACACACCTGTGACACCTGTGATTCCAGCTACTTGGAAGGCTGAGGCAGAAGGATTGCTTGAGCCCAGCAGGTCTGAGCCCAGCAAGTCGAGGCTGCGGTGGCCGTGAACGTGCTACTGCACTCCAGCCTGGGTGACAAAGTGAGACTCCGACTCAGAAAAAACAAAGAAAAGAAAAGAAATGAACAGCAAAGATAATGAGAAGGGTAAATACTTCCCAGGATGAAAAAACCTTGCTGTAAATCTACATTTAAATATGGGCCAGCTATTGTTCTATTAAACAATGAAGAAAAAATGATCTAAGAAGTAGAACTAGGAGGATTGGTGCTATAGAAGCCAAAGGGAAAAGAGGATTTGAATAGGAGAGGATGGCTAATAGTGTTAGACAACTCAGATATTCTTACTTTAAAAATTACAACTTTCACATAGTTCAGATTTTACAAGAAGGAAGATTTCTTGTTCTTAAGAAATGGGAAAGAAAATGTAGTGAGAGAGTTAACATAGTCCATTCTTTTAAAGAATTTTGGTGTTGAAAAGACAGAAGAAAGAGAGGATTGTCTGAGAGGATTGTCTGACGTCCTTGAGTTGACATACCAGTGATAGCCTTTGCTTTCTGGCACACCTGAGGTCTCTCTTCCCCCAGGGAAGTTACTTGTGCCTCTGTGGAGCTGAGCAACACCACTCAAGCTGCTGCTGCTGTTTTTAACAGCTTTATTGAAATATGATTAACATACCATACATTTCACTATTTTAAGTATATAATTGTTTTTAGTATATTCACAGAGTTGTACAACTATGACCAAAGTCTAATTTCATTTTATTTATTTTTTTTGAGTTGGAGTCTTAATCTGTCGCCCATGCTGGAGTGCAGTGGCTCACTCATAGTCACCGCAGCCTCGACCTACTGGGTTCAAGCAATCCTTCCGCCTCAGCCTTCCAAGTAGCTGGAACTACAGGCATGTGCCACCACGCCCAGCTAATTTTTTGATTTATTGTAGAGATGAGGTCTTGCCAAATTGCCCAGGCTGGTCTCGAACCCGTGGGCTCAGGCAATCCCTCACCTCTGCCTCCCAAAGGCTGGGATTATAGGCGTGAGCCACCGTACCCGGCCAAAGTCTAATTTTAGAACACTTTCCTCATCCCCCAAAGAAACCCCATACCCATTAGCAGTCACTTCCTGTTTCTTCCTCTTGTCTGCTTCAGGCAGCCACTGATCTGTTTTTTTGTCTCTATAGATTTAAGTGGTCCGGACGGACATGTCATATAAATGGAATCAAACAATATGTGACCTTTTGTGTTTGGTGTCTTTCGCTTAGCATAGTGTTTTCAAGATTCATCCATGTTGTGGCATTTGTCAGTACTTTAGTCCTTCTTACTGCTGAATAATCATTTTCTGTACTACATTTATCCCTTCATCTGTTGATGAATACTTTGATCACTCCTACTTTTTTACTGTTATGAATAATGCTGCTAAGAATATTCATATACAAGCTTTTGTATGGACATGTGTTCATTTCTCTTGGGTAATTGCTGGACTATACGCTAACTGTTTAACATTTTGGGAAACTGTCATACTGTTTACCAAAGTGATCGCACCATTTTCCAATGCCCTCAGCAATGTATGAAGGTTCCAGTTTCCCCACATTATTGTCAACATTTGTTACTGTCTTTCTTAATTTTAGTCATTCTAGTGGGGTCAAGTGATAGCTCATTTTAGTTTTAATTTTAGTATTGAGTACATTAGTACTTCCCTAATGACTAATGATGTTAAGCATCTTTTTATGTAAGTGTTTGTTAACCATTTGTGTGTCTTCTTCAAGAAAATGTCTATTCAAATTCTTTCCCCACTTTTTAGTTGTCTTTTTATTACTGAGTTGTATGAACTTTTTTTTATATATATATTCTAGATAGAAGTCCCTTATCAAATATATGATTACAATTTTTCTTCCATTCTGTGGATTTTTTGTTTTACTAAATTGATTTTGAAGCACAAAAGTTTTAAATTTGTATGAAGTCCAGTTTATCTTTTTTTTTGTCACTTGTACTTATGATATCATGTCTAAGAATGCAGTGCCTAACCCAAGGTCATGAAGAACTACTCCCTTGTTGTAAAAGCTTTTTTGGATAGATTTTTTTTTTTTTTTTTGAGTTGGAGTCTCATTCTGTCGTCCAGACTGGAGTGC